AAATGTGTTAAAATATGGTAAATAGTCATCTCCCTTACTAACTAGTCTCCCATGTAGTGGTGAATAGTTTGTTTTTTTTTTAAAGTGTATTTTTAATGAAAAAAAAAACTGCTTGCATAGTTAATTTTAAAAATTAATTTTTTCGCTTTCAGAAAAGAAAAAAGTAACCGTTGCATCATATTATTGTCGTAGGATCTGGAAGAATTTGTCTGCGTATTCTCTAGGTATTTTCCATAGTGATTCTCGGTGGACTATATAAAACGAAAAAAAAAGTAACAACACTCTAGGAGATGCTTCAACAAGACGCTTTTCTTATCACAGAAGGAAAAAGAAGCGTTATATAAACGGCTAGAAGTAGGTGACATTCGACGGTTCCCTTCTTGAGTATTAAACGTGTTTGATGTTCAACACTAGCGTCGTCTACCTCTATTGATTGGTTTTGGCCTTTCGCCGGTGTCACTGAATTAGTTTGAAGGTTACTTTGCTGTTTATTTCATTCGTTGTAGTCGACACCGCGGAAGAGCCTTAACAGGCAAAGGGGCTGATTGCACTTGGACCAATGAATCTTGACTAGTTGGGGCCCACGTGAGAACTTAGGGATGACACTAAAGGAAATAAAATGATCCCACTATTGTAAATCTGAAAAGCTCTAGCCAAAGCGTTGCATGAAACTATATTACTTTTAAAACATTAACCCGAGTTTAAAGCTTAGAGTTAATGCACCAACTGCTTGGATCACGTTAATGTAAGAAACTACCTTCCATCAGGTATATTGTAATGCTGGCGAGCCCTGATTGTACGTTAGGGTTTAGGCACATTGTCCTATTCTATTTTTTTGTCCATGCATGTTCACAAACCATTGATAGAATTGGTTTTAAAAAGGGATGGGGGGCTAGAGAGAGAGAGAGAGAGAGAGTTTGGTTTGGAAAATATTAATGTGTTGTACAGAAAAATAATGATATAGGTGGGGTAACAATAACAACCAGCGAATTAGGTCTATAGGGATAGCCCTAAAGGCTTCGGATGACTATTTCGAGACATCTAATTATTCAATTTTCTGAAAGCTTAATATGTATCTTTTATTTTTTGTAGTTAAAATATTTAAATACAAGTTTTTCAGCTGCAAAGCTGCACGAACCTAATGTTACAACTTTATTTTATATGACATTGTTTTTGCTACTCAAAAAATCAATTTCCTATAGTCGCACTCTCTAAATGATTTTATACTATCGTCAACAGTAGTAGGTAATATTTTTATTGTCTTTTGTGTTATTGTAAGTTAAAGTATAATCCGAATAAAAAACAAAAAGAGTCTGAGAGTTTAACTAATAAAAATAAATGTCATTCTAAAACTTTTTATTCAATCAGATTTTTACTTATCACATTGTTTTGTTGTCTTCTGTATTAAGTAAAAAAATGTTAACAGAATTTTCAAAAAGGTGATATAATCTGCGCATTACCACATGTAACATTAAATAGTAAACAATAAAATGAAGCATCAGAGTATGTGACATTGTTATGGTGAATTGCGAAATAGAATCGGAGAACAGGTTTATAACAAAGATCTAGAAGATAGATGTCTACATTGATCATGAAATTATGCATTTCTCTCACCAATGCTTAGTATTTATTTGTTTCATAGTTCTTAAAGAAAGTTAACACCATATATTTATACAAAATCCTCTAACCAAGCTTTATTTAAAATTGCTATGAATATTTGTCAGGAAAACAAAGTCCAACAGATTGGGAACGAAATAATAGACAAAAATTCTGGTACTATAGCCGTCTATAGGAGGTCCAGTCCCTCTAGCAGATTAGGCCAGATCCGACCATATCTGACAACTGAGTCAACAAAAAAGCTTGTGAGAGAGAAACGTGGCACCACTAGAAGCGTTGAGTCCATTGAGCGCAGGGCTCTCTTGGGGACATATGGAGTAATCAGTTCGCTAAGGTACAAGGGCATCTCGTTGTTATATATACACTGATGACAAAGTGTGGGGACCTTGTAATCGATTCTCGCTTTCACGGGAAGCCAATGGAGCGTGTGCAAGAGCGTAGTAGCAGAATCTCGTCTTGTTTTTCTAAAGACTATTCGTGCGGCGTTGTTCTGAATTCGTTGCAGCTTGGCTATTTTGTCATCGGGTATACCTACTAGCACGGCATTGCAGTAGTCAAGTCGAGAAAGTATTAATGCTACAGCTAGCTTTTTTGTTTTTAATTTATTAATTTATTTTATTTTTAGGATTCAAGTATAAAATTGTGAGTTATAGTCCCAAAGTTATCTATACAATACATGACATGGCCCTAAATTTTGCCAATATGTCATAAACCAAAAAAATATCAAATATCATTCATACAAAAGAAATAGCTCAGATTCATTAAAGGGAAAGGCTAGTTAACATATGACAATATCTGGTTTCAGAACTCATCTCAATTGTTACTTTTATAATTAAACATTTCTTATGAATTCTAATCTATATGAAAGAAGTGTATGTCTAAATAACACCTCTCGGGTACTAGAAAGAATTTCAACCTCCGACCGAATTTAGAGCATTCATGTTAATCATTTAAAACTGACACCAAAACCACTCGATGAGCAGAACATACTTCCCTCTGTGTTGTAGAACCACTCGGCGTCCCTTCATTACTGACCTGAAATAGAAAGATGTGAATATTCCAATTCTCTGTATATTTTTTTTAACTAACAGAAACAATATAATAACCACAATATAGAGAAGGAATTCCTTTTAAAAAAATGATTTAGAATTTTTTTTATATGATTTTGTTTTCACTGGGCCCCGAAATATTTAACCCCTAGCTTATGAACTGAACTATTTTGACCCATACCGTCAAGTGGAGTTGTTCTTCCGAGGGCCAGGTATTGCGATTCAGGATGAAAGATCTACTCGGATATTGACAATCTGTTTATTGTAAAATAAATAAATTGAGGTATGCCTTGGTCAAGGAATGTAACCAAGCAATAAGATATCTGTCAAGGGCTGCAGGAGTTGTCTTACATTGTGCAGACACGAACACTGAACACAAAGCGTGTCATATATACTCAGTTCCAGGATAAGGGTTGTCAAACTCCAATGTTAGTGTGGGATGCACTTAAATTGGTGTAAGTTTCTGGTGTCCGTAGAAAATATGAATTTTCATATATAGGAAGATTTTAACAGAAATACGTTTTTATAAAGAATTTTTTTTTATAATGCAAAACGTGGAAATATACCTACTGGTTTTTAATGTGCCTTTTATCCTAACCTGTACCTTCACCTATACCTTAAGCTGTTGAATCGTTGGGGCACCACACATGATCTGTCGACCGTCTTTCTCCATTCTTTTCTGTCTTTTGCCTTGAAAAGAATATCTTTAACTGGCAGGCCAGTCCATTCTGTTATGCTGTCTTCCCATTGCTTTCGCCGTCTGCATCTTCTTCTTTTTTCCTGAAACTGTTCCCTGACGGAATATCTTTGTGAGTCCTGAGGACTATGTGATATGACCATAAAGTTTCAGTTAGCGTTTGTTTTTTTTTTTTTTGGCAGTACTTAGTAGGTCAACATGGGACCCAATCACCGTTGTGATCTTTGTGATGCGCTCTTTCATCATGGAGACAAATATAATAGCAAACTTTTATTTCGGTGTTTCCGGTGTACAAAATTCTAGCATCTTAGAAAAGAGAGAGAGAGAGAGAGAGAAGGAAAGAGAGAGAGTGAAAGAGAGAGAGAAAGAGAGAGAGAGAACATTTGCATTCTCATATTTTACACTTTTTATTAATCGATTTAATCCTTATAGAATGTAAAAATGATCTGAGGTGTATGGTTTCAGCCCTAATAAAGGTTTCTATGATAAACTTATAAATGAAAATCATTTACATCAAGAAAGGTTTGTGATAAGACTAAGACTATAATGAACTAAGATTATATACAGAGATAAATCTTTTTTATAAACTACATTAAATTAAGGCTTAAGTATACCCTCAGGGCTAAGATAGGCATTTTGAATTAATAATACTAATTATAATAAAACTAGTGTTTGAGTGTCTACCATGATGTAGCGAGCCGGATAGGAAAAGCAGGGAGCATTATTCAAAGGCTGCAGCCTATTTGGACAAGCCGATTCATTGGACTGGAGACAAAAAATACACCTTCTCAACACAATCGTCATTCCAACAGCAACATATGCATGTGAGACATGGAAGTCATTTGTCACAATTGAGAAGAGACTAAATGTGGCTCAACAAAAATGGCTGAGAAGGATTTTGGGAGTCAGTTACACAGATCTGGTCTCAAACAAGGAAATCCTATGCCGAACTGGGAGTTGAACACTTAGTGAGGTTGTGACAGAGAGTCGCATGAGGTTTGCGGCACATGTTCTGCGACAAAATGAATTACGCACACCAAGAGTTGCGATGACATTGAGGCCAATACGGGGAAAGCGCAAACAGGGACGTTCCCGTATAACTTGGCGCCACACCTTTATGGAGGACTTCAGAACAGTAGACACCAGGTGGGAGGAGGCTTCAGACATTGTCAATGACAGATCTTTATGGAGACAGCTTACCGCCCAATGCGACGAACTGCGCGGGAGGACTTAAGTCTAAATTGAGTGCAAAGGTTAAAATGGAGTATACTGCCTTGCAGCCCTGTTTACATATTTGCCACATCCAACGCAGACCAAGCTGTTGTCTTCTTAAGTTCCTATGATCGTTTTTTTTCTTGCCGTCTGCGTCTGTCTTCGGCAAGATATTTTATTGTTAGGGTCTCGGACAGCTCTTCTAGATGATCATCAGCTGTTTGAAGACACCTAGTGCCAGGCGCTCTCTTCTATGTCAGATAAAAGCAAGCTTGCGACGGGGCTGATCTTTATAGCGTTTACAGGGGAGTGACTGGGGCCTGTGTTACACAGACCCTCTTTCAGCTCAACAGAAGAAAAAAGAGGTGGAGAATGTATAAATAAGTACAACAACAAACAGACAAAATGATGTGTACAACTCTAGCTTATTTTAAAGAAAAATTATTAATGTTTAAAACAGATGCAATTTTAAATCACAGCGATTGAAATATCTACTTTCATTCTTCCGAGATTAGATCTTTTTTTTTTTTCAATCGGCAACAGACTTCGTCACATTTACTTCCGTTCGGACAAATACCTCAATGAAATGTTACTGCAAACATGGGGGAAAAAAAAACATAATTACGGGAAAATATATACCTAGTTTTTGATATACAGAAAAATACAATATATACCTAGTTTTTAATATACAGAAAAATACAATATATACCTAGTTTTTGATATACAGAAAAATACAATATATAGATAGTTTTTGATATACAGAAAAATACAATATATACCAACACACTATACATCTAGTATGAATGTGAATTTACAAATCTTCAATCAATTTAATAAAACAGCTTAAACATTAACTGATCAAATGACGAGGACTCCCCATTTCAAGGGAGTGATTAGAGGGTGGCAATAAATGCATGCATAAATATATTCAACTTCAAGTGACCCACTTTCTTAGATGCCAAGACAGTTATCTACAAATCTATTTTAAAAAATACACAAATATAATCAGCTTCAAGTGAACTAGTTTCATAGTTTGCAAGATAGCTATTTACAAATCTTAAATATAAATAAATAAATACATAAATATATTCAACTTCAAGTGACCTACTTCTTAGATGCCAAGACAGTTATCTAAAAATGTTAAAAAAGAAATAATCCATGCTCAACTATATTCAACTTCACTGACCTACTTTCTTATATGCCAAAACAGTTATCTACAAATCAATAAAATAAATACATACATAAATATATTCAACTTCAAGTGTCTTAATATCTCAGATGTTAAGACAGCTATCTACAAAACTAAAATGAAATAAATACATAAATATAGTTTTCAACTTCATGTGACCTACTTTCTTAGATGCAAAGACAGTATCTACAAATCTAATATATATATATATATATATATATATATATATATATATATATATATATATATATATATATATATACATAAATATATTCAACTTCAAGTGACCCACTTTCTCAGATGCCAAGACAGTTGTCTACAAATCTAAATTTTAAAAAAGCATACACTCATAAATATATGCAAACATACTCAAGAGATGTAGAATTACCTCCCTCCCTCCCCAATCTCGTAAAAATTACATTTGAACCAGAACAACCAGAAAGAAGGTCACCAGGAGGCATGCGGGTCCAGAAATACTGGCTGTGTTCTCACTCTTCACACCTGAAAAAAAAATACATGTATGTAGACAATTTAATTAAGTCTAAGCATAAAAAGGCACACACAAGCGCGCACACACACAAAACGGTGAGCTTACTATACTATGTAACACCAGTGATTGAAAACAACTGGCTGCGGGCCAGATCTAGTCACTGACGCGGTGTTATTCGCCTCCACGATATTTCTGCCCTCAGTTGAAGACATTTTAGAATTTTAAAAAAAATAATGTAAACGTTCTCTGACCTGTTTAACCTGTTTGATAAATCAAGATGGTTCCCTAGCGGAAAAAAAAAGATTGGACGTCACTTCTGTAGACTACATAACTGTAGGCCTATCTTTTAACTTAACATTTGATTAAATCCAAAAAATCATGATTATAGCAGCACAGTGCGAAGCCGGTCCGGAACAGAGAATTGAGTAAAAGGCGAAGTTTGTGTACAGTAGATGCTATGTTGTTGCCAATTGTACAGTATTGGCTGTGGTGTACTTTTTTTTTTACTTTTATCTATTCCTTAGTCTATTGGACCGTTGGGGCACCATGCAAGATTTGTCAACCGTCTTTCTCCGTTCCTCTCTGTCTTTTGCCTTACTTTGAACCTCTTTCAATGGCAAGCCTGTCTATGCCATTAAGCTGTTTTCCCATCATTTCTCTGTCTGCCTCTTCTTTTTTTTTTCCTGGTACTGTTCCCTGAAGGAAGGTCATTGCGAGCCCCGAAGATCTTATAATATGGCCATAGATTTTTCGCTTGCGTTTTTTTTTTTACGATAGCAGGTCATCATGGGGTCCGATCGCTGCCTGTCTCTAATCTCTTGGTTTGTGATGCGGTCTTTAAATGTGATACCTAGGACATTTCTGTAGCATCTCACTTCCATTGCTAGGATCCTCCTCTCTAGCTCTGCAGTCTCACAAGGATATAAAAATGTGGCCATGACCAGATAGCGCATCAGTCTGATTTTGGTGCCTAGGCTAAGCCTTTGTCTTTCCATATTATTTTTAGTTTTGAAAGGGCTTCTATGGACTATGTTAATCGGGACAGTAGTACAGGTTTTGTTCCCTCATCTGAGACAATAGCTCCAAGGTATTTGAACACTAGTCAGCTTTTCACCTCCAATACTGATGCCCTTTTAAAGACCAGTTGGCTATTGGTCAAAATTATTTTTTTTCGGCATTTATTTGCATACCATATGCTGCGGAAGTATTGTCAATGCGCATCACCAAGTGAGCTAGTTCTTCTTCTGTCACTGATAGGCCATCAATGTCATCTGTGAAGCGCAAGTTAGTAATTCTTCTTCCTCCAATGCTTACAGTACCTTCATAGCCCTCGAGGGCATCTTCCATTATCTTTTCAAGGAAGGTATTGAAAAGTGTTTGTGAAAGTAGGCAGCCTTGTCTTACTCCAACTGAGGTTTTAAACCAGTCCCCAATATTATTGTTGAAGTACACCGCACTGGTGGCATCATTCTGGATTGCATTTTATTTCACATCACTGATAAACATTAATCCGTGAAAAACTGTGAGGGATTAGAAAATAGTCATTAAAAGTAATGGCAGTTGTTTAATAAGATGCACACTATTATTTTGGTCGAAAATACTGCTACTGAAGATGTGTCAAGTTCATTGTGTGATGAGCACACATACTGATTACCACAAGTAAAGTAGTAAAGTAAAGTTCCCCCTTCAGACCTTGTGGTTTATAGGGCAGACGATGTAAAGGTCATCTGATTCTGTGGCCTATGGTCAACAAGGGTGTCATGTGGCCACCACAACGACCAACCGCCTTTACTTTTCCCCAACTAATGTCAGGTTCCCATTAGAGCTGGGTAGACTCAGAGGCACACAAGGATCCCGAAATAAAAATCCCAATCTTCACCAGGATTCGAACCCGGGATCCCCAGTTCAGAAACCAAGCGCTTTACCGCTCAGCCACCGCACCTCCTGATTACCACAAGGTATATTGCAATGAAGATTGACTAGAATAAAAACATGAATGGGATGTGAACTGTAGAGCGTAGACCGCGCACTTAGAACGGCTGAGCATGAATAATGTAGCGTAAATGAAACATAAATGTGATTAGGAGATGAACTATGAACATTGACAAGACTTCATGAAGAAGTAGAGGCAGCTACTTCTTTGTTTTGTCCCCAAATAATACATCTATCACTAGTGTAGTGTGCCATTTTGGTAAAGACAAACTTTGAAAAAATATTGATTTGTTTTGTGTATTATAAAGGGTGGTGCGTTATTTGGCAAAGCGACGCACTATAGTTGACGGACTTTTAATCTGTAATGTATTTATTTTTTTCTTAGCGAAGCACTATAGCTGACGGATTTTGATATAGCCAGTCCGCTCCTGCTTCCAGGGGCAAGTACTTAATTACGCTCGACAAAAAAAAATGTCGCCTTGGCTAGTATGTTGACACAAAAATATTGTCTTTCAGGTTCTTAGTTATACTACTAACTGCTCATGATCTAATTAGACAAAAAACAATCAAGCTTAAATAATAATTAAACTAAAACACAGTCAAAACAAAAACAAATGAAAACTTGGATACAATAAAATATAGTCAATTCGGTTAGCCTTTACCTCCGGTTAATTGGAACGACTGCTTATTAGGACTTAATCCTAACGGGATAATCCCATCTTGTTACACTGACATATTGTCTTAATCAGACCATCCGGTTATTAGGATCATAATGATAAAGTATCGATATGGCCCGATTAATCCGAAAAGACTTGTTATTTGCTTGTCATTAATGAAGTATTAGTGCAAACAAAGAGCACAGTAAGGCTGAAACTTAATTAGCGGGTCCTCTTGTCTAACACACAACCTCAATAGCTCAGCTCTAAAACCGGGCCTATTGCTAATGTCATTGAAACCATGCTAAATATAGAAATTGAATCTTCAAACGACATTCTTTTACTTACAATAAGTATTATACTGAATCTCCGTTGCGTTCTTGGCGTTGCTTATCATTCTGTGATACTCAGTCGACTTGCATTCCCTAAGGACCTTATCGAAACAGGACTTGGCCTTTGTTAAGTTCCTATATGCGAGAAAACACAAACACTCTGTTGTGGTACGAGTAGGAATTAGTTATTTGTTTGGGAATAGGGGAAGTTTTAAGTTACGAGATAATGACGTCACTAATTTAAAAAACGAAAAAAAAAAATAGACTAAGTTTTAGGCAGAACGACATATCAGCCGATATGAACAGACCACATTGGGACGCCTCAGAGTTTAGAGATAGGTGTTATCGGATTTCGTTGAGTGTTACCCCCGTTTGGTTTGTCTGCGTCAGACTCAGCGAAAGAGCTTACCAGCTCACACATTGTATCTAGTCTGTCGTTCCGCTGGGAACTATGTGTCACGATGCATACTACTACATTGGTGTTCTAATAGGTCGAGCCTAAGAACTACCAGCACAGGCGTAGTGAGGGGGTGGGCAAGGAAGGCACGATGCCCCGGGCGCCGCCTTTGGGGGCGGGGACGCCACCTTCGGGGGCGGTGACGCCACCTTCGGAGGGAGGGCGCCACACGCTGAGAGGAGCCTAAAAAAAACATTATTGTAGATATTTTTTTTAGTTACGTAATACATTCTTTGTGGAGACCGCTTGCTGCCCAATGCGCGGAACGGCGCGGGATGACCTAAGTCTAAGTCTAAATAACCTTAACATTCACATTATTATTTTCTAGTTTCTTTATTTTCTCAAGTTGAGGCATCCAAAACAGAGGATGGATATTGTAATATTGGCATAATGGACCTCATTCAGGAACAAAAGTCAGATTATTTGCAGACGATTGCATAATATATAGAACAATAAAAAGAACACAAGACACAGATATTTTACAAAGAGAATTAGATGAATTACAGAAATGGGAATCAAATTGGAGCATGTCTTTCCACCCAGAAAAATGTCAGTTGTTAAGAGTAACAAAAAAACTAAAACAAATTAATTCCACTTAA